GGGTATGATAGAATTGGAAGTTTCCTTCCTCCTACTTAGAAGGCTGGAACTGAATGAAGTTGGGGATTGTTCTGCCCCCAGCCAGGCTTTCATAATACCCCAGCAATTTAGGCTCTGGTTAACCATTTTCTCCTGAAGGCTGGTCTTATTAAGAAAAATAGAATGCTCTGGTATATTGCAAAATGGCTAGTTTTCTTCTCACCCTGCTAGAAGCACCAGGGGATTTCTCCCTTCCCTATTTACTATGAGAACCTGGAAGAGCTTCCGAAGGTAAAACTCATGTAATCGCCCCTCCCACCTCCACCTTGACTAGGTGCCCAGGCAGTTTTTAAATTTCTGACTCGGCCACAGTGAGCCTCAGCAATTTTCCAGTTAAATTTCAGGTTTTCTTACACTGAGACTAGTTTCAGGTAAAATTTGCCCTTGTGATTATCTGCTTTGGCAAACCATTACTTTCTGTACCCACCTGTCTTTCCAATATTGGGAATCCTAGAAGAGTTGTTGATTTTTTTTTTAGTCCATTTAGTTTTTATTTGTTATTATGACTTATAAACTCCCTACATGTGAAAACCAGCACAAGCAATTTTTTGTTGAAATTCTCCAGTTAATATGACAGCTCTAAATTGCCCCAGGCTGAAGAGAATGAATTGATGTTGTTGTTGCTACTGGTGCTACAGTTGTTAATGTTGTGGTTTTGTTGTTGTTGAGTCTATGCCACAAACAAATTATATAGAATTAAAGGAGTGAGCCTTTAGATGTAACACTTTTAATTGCATGGCAAGTCACATAACAATTTCAACCAGATATGGGACTCTGGCACACTCAGATAAATCATCTTTTTGAAAATATTTAAATCAAAAAGTAAAGGACTCTAACTTAAAATGGAAATAAATATTACATTAGAGTTAGAGTTTATCAAAATGTTGTAAATTTTCTTTTTCAAACTAGATTGTTAACAACTTACCATGATTTCCAGGTTTAAAAGTTATGAAATCAGATTATAAAATCAAGGGCCAAATAGTCAAGTCACTGTTTTAAATCAGCATTTTCTTTGGAGACTTTCACTAAATAATGCTCTGTTTAGTGCTGAAGTTCAGAGAAATTTTAGGGATAGCTGAAAGCAGTCTAAGCAATCAGCACATGCAAAGGTCTGAACCTCCTTTAGTTCACTCAGTAAATCAGGGATGGGCTCAGAGAAAATGATTTTATGCCATATTTTACACAAGGAGACTGAAGTCTTTAGTAAGAACTCTCAAGGTATCTCTCTTATTTCCCTGTCTCATTCCTGGAAACTTCTTTCAGGGAACCAACTCTGATGTATTAAAGAAAATAAGGGGAATCTGGCTGAAAAGTTTTGTGTTCACAATTTCACAACCCAAGCAGAATACTGCTCTACCTATCTAGGTTCAGATTTTCCTCATGCTGGGATCAGGCCCTCTGTAATAGCAGTGAGACTAGCTGGTGGATGTGCCATAATGAATTAATTTCCATTCATTCAACAGACTTTGCCTGAGTGCCTACTGGTTAGCCAGATATGGTGCTAAGAGCCATAGACGAGGACATATTTTTAAACACCACACCCTCACCCCCCATCCCCAACCGCCACCCTACCAACATGGGGCAGTTGTCACAAATTAAAAGAGTGCTTGAGGAATGAGTTAATGTCAGTGTCTCCCTAGCTCTAGAGACTGACCTATAAAGTAAAGCTTGAAATTGCTGAAAGTTACCCTGATGTCTTCTGGATGCAGACCTTGATTCCTACCCCATACCACTGACCCATGGTTTGTAACCACTAAAGATTTCAGAGTGGGGAATAAATGTTGGTGTTGAAGGCTGAAGGCTGTCAACAGCTGAGTTCTGAGCCCACAAAGGGACATGGTCATGAAATCAGCTTCTAGGGTAGTCATTTTTTTTTAACATTTGCTGTTATTATTGCACTGGTGAAATCTAAGGTGCTTTCCTTAGGAAAACACAATCTACAAACACACATACTTACAAATGATTTCAGAAGGTTCATGTGCAGTTACGGCTGGAGGGTGAGGGTGTGGTGTTTAAAAAAATGTCCTTGCCTATGGCATTTAGCACCGTATCTGGCCAACCAGTAAGCACTCAGGCAAAATTTGTTGAATGAATGGAAATTAATTCATTATAGCACATTCACCAGCTAGTCTCACCGCTATTACAAGGGCCTGATCCCAGCATGAAGAAAATCCGAACCTAGATAGGTAGAGTGGAGTTCTGCTTGGGTTGTGAAATTGTGAGCACAAAACTTTCCAGCCAGATTCCTCCTATTTTCTTTAGTGCATCCGAGTTGATTCCCTGAAAGAAATGTCCAGGAATGAGATAGGAAAATAAGAAATACCTTGAGAGTTCTCAGGTCTTGGGATGAAAGGAATTTTCCCCAAAGTAAAGGTGAGCAAAGACACCAACAAGAGCCTCAAATGGCAGAGCCCAATCTCTAGCAAAATGGTGCCTGCTCTGCCGCCATTGCCAATCTGGCCCTACAACTCTTCACGGAAAGCCTAGGTTAGGGCTCAGGACAAAAACTACTGAGTTCCAAAGCCCAGCACTAGGTCTCAGCACCAGCTGTTTGCTTCTAGGCTCCAGGAGAAGTAAGCCCAGGAACCGACATTCTCAAACTTGTCCCTTGCTTCTCTGCCTTTCCCTGCTTTTCCTCTGATGCACACAGGTGTCCTACAGAGCAGTTCTTCCATTTCTGACTCCCCTGCTGCCCTGCTAGCCTGCCGTACAGAGACCCAGTTTCACACATCCAGTTCCAGACCTCCCAGCTTGTATTTCCTCATGGCAGTGGCGCCCCACTGAGTTAAGAAGAAGGAAAATTGAATAAGAAAGAGCATCTTCAACGTTAGGAAGCAAGGAGGTCACCAACCTGGAAGGTGAAGCGATATGGTGCAAGGCAGGTGTGTCCTAGGGACATGCTGAGGATTCTGGAGACTGGGGACTGGGGTGTGGAACTGTGGGTCAGTTCACTCACGGCACACGCAGGGATAGTTTCCCTCTGCCCGGGAACCCCCCAGCAGGGGGTCCTTGCCTCCCCCCACAGCCCCGATACATTTGCTGTGCTCACTGAACTGAAAGACTGTACAGGCTGCTGCAGCTCAGACGCCTAGATCGTTGAGACAATGCGAATCTTCTTTCTCCATAATTTACCCTCGGAGGTATTGGAAAAAAAAAAAAAAAGGAAAGAAGTGTGTGGCGGGGGAGCAAGACCTGGGACCTTCCAGACGGGCTTGGACCGGAGAACTCAGGGGAAAGATCCTGAAACAGGTTATGCAGGTTGTGAGACGGTCGAGGTGCTGCAAAGGTGGGTGTTACGGAGCACGCTTATTCTGGAGAGTGAGGACAGGTATGACACGAACACATCACCCACATGCAGGTGTGTAGGGACGACCACACGAGAGACTCCCGAAGCAGGTTTGGGACATGATTCTGCGTGAACCCGGGCGGATATCCCTGCGCACAAGCGCCGCTTTTGCGAGTGCCGGTGCTTTCGGAAGCGGGCATGTGTTTGGAGACAGAAATGAGTTTGCATGTGTGGAAGAGTATGACTGGAAGTGACTGCGAGTGTTCGTCTCGGCGGGGACTTCTCAGCTCCGTCAAGCCTGCCCTGCTCTCTAGTGGAGAACCGTAGTGCGGAAGATGCAGGTGCAGGTCCCGAATCGCGCGCCGCTGGAACATCCTGGCAAACAGCTGTCGGTAACTAAGGCGGCTGGACATACCGCTCCAGCAGGCAGATGAGTGATAGGAGATGGATGGAGGGGTAGAAAAGGAGAGGACTGGGGCTGCTTGAAGGCTGGGGAGACATCTATGCCTTGCGGCTTCCCGCTGTCGGCCGGCGGGTCTTTGGCCCTTTCTACCCACGTGATGGACCACCCAGCGCGGGCCAGGGCACAAGACGGAGAATCCTTTAGTGCGGACTCTGATCCTAAGGAATCCCCCAGGTGAACCAAGGACACTTTTCCACGTCCCCACTTAGCTAAGGGGCACATGGCTACTAATGGCATCAGTCCTTCAAGACGGGAATATGATTCCCATTTCAAAGATGAGTACAGTTGACCATTGAACGTGATGGTTAGGGGCGCGGACCTCCCGCATAGTAAAAAAATCCAGGTATAACTACAGCCGGCCCTACGCGTACTCGGATTTCCAACTGTGCAGTTGATCCTTGAACAACACGGTTTTTAAGCGTGTAGATCCAAGAACTGCGCAGGTAAAATGAACCACCATCAATCGTACCGCACGGGTCAACTAAACTTCGCGGTATCAATCGAAACACCCAAGTATAATTGGACCTGCCCAGTTCAAACCCCTGTTAAAGGTCAACTTTACGTTGAGTCCCTGAGAAGTTACTTGCCCGTGATCCTACCTACCGGAACTGGTGCAGCTGAAATTCAGTTTAGTCTGCCAAAAGTTCTTACTCCCACCTCCACCTCCCATGCCCCCGGAACGAGTCCGGTCCTCTGTGGGTGATTCCAGCTGCCTGATGCAGACACGCTGCTTGGGCCCAGAATTTACACTGATACACATTAACCCTCCAAGCCTCACTTGCGCGGGGGTCTAGAGTCAGATTTGGGGGAGCCAGGAGTCCCTGCGGTCCCGACCCCAGCCCTAGAAGACCGCACAGCTGGGGAAGGAGTGGGATGCATGTTCAAAACCCGATGAAACTGAACAGGTGAAATTTGCAATGACGTCAAACTGTCTTCAATATCCTGCTCACTTCGTGGGTGTTTTTCTTGGTCCCCACCACTCCCCCCGTCCCCTTTCCATCAATGACCTCAATGCAAATACAAGTGGGATGATCCTGATGGATGCTACAGGTTCTGGACGCAAGTGGGTGACACAAATACGTCGGAGGCACAGGATCCTTCTCATTGGTTGCCCGGAGCTCCTGGACCACCCCAGACCCAGAGCAGCGGGAATAAGAGGAGCCGCCGGTGCCGGGAGGCATCAGAGCGACTTTCCACTTGGAGTGTCCCTGCCACTTCCACAGTGCAGTCGCCTGACACGAACGCCCCGGCTGCTGCCGCAGCTACCTGCTGCCAGGTGAGCCCCGAGACTCCTGCTTAGCTGAGCGATTCTCTTTCTCTCTCTTTCTCCTCCCTTCCCTCTCTCTGCATTACTCTCTCTTAGTCAATCTCCCTGCCGGTATTACTCTCTGTCCACTTCTGTCCGTGTGTCTCTTCATCGCGCAATTTCTCTTAGTCCGTTACTCATTCCAGACTCCTATCCAGGTTACGCTTAACAGTCTCAGTCCAGGGACTTTCTGCTCCACTCTTCCCGCGCAGAGCAGGGCTCCAGTCTCGTCTTTAGCTGCACGCGTGCTTAGACCGATCTCTGCCGCTGGAGCAACCAGGCACTGAGCACAGGACAGGACGCATGAGTAGCTTTCTGCAGTCCGTGCGCTCAGGGATCCCATTTCCCGCCTAGTGGACCCCAGGAGACCCGTTCGGAACCCAGTTGGCAAACAGGCGCAAAGACCTAAGGCGTTAGCCCTAAACTACAAGCCCCAGTCGTGAGTCTGGGTGCTTTTTTCCGGTTTAAATCCTGGGTCTCAACTAAAAAATCTGCTAACCTTGGTTCTTTCAGGGGTCTTTTTGCTAGAATTCGGAGTTGAATTTGGTTCTTTACTTTCTCAGAGATTCCAACCACAGAGATATGCCCTCTCTACCTACCTTTCCCTACTTGCACCGCTAGGTGTGTGCAAAAGCCCCACACATGGGTGACAGCTCTGCGTTGCACTGTAGGTACACTCTGTTGTGCCAGGGTGCTCCAAGACTGTCCTTGATGGAGACCTGCTGTATCTTACTGCTGTAGGGCTGACATCATTTTTTTCCCTTGCAGAGAGGCATCATGGGCTTCTGGAAGTACTCCCCCTACCTGGCTCTTGGCATCTTGGTCCTGTACCAGGCAGGAGTCCTCCAGGCAGCACCATTCAGGTAAGACAGCCCTGCCAGCAGCACACTCCCCTCCCACCGCCCCAAGGATCAACCAGGTCTGTGGGCTGAACTGAATGTTTAATAACCCCGGGGGGGGGGGGGCGGGCGGGTGCAGGGGGAGCTGTATATGTGTAAACCTGCATATAAGTTCTTATGATATAAAGATGTGTTGTATACAAATTACAAATAAAAATAAGATATGCAGTGTTCTTTATTATAAATTTTATATACCTCTTTAGCCTCACAGAATGCTTTCATTGCTTTTTACCAAATATCTGCATCTGTAGGAAACCTATTTATCTAATTCAACCAGAAATTGAGAAATAATATGCATCACAATCTGCTAACTACTTTGCCATAACTTGGTTGTTATTAAATTTAACATGTGCTCTATTAATCTAGTTTCTCACCCTCATGCAAACATGGCTGGTTACCCTGAAAACAGGGTAGACAGGCACTCAGAGCCTATGTTGGATTTGCTTTGTGCCTCCAGGTCTTACCTGGAGAGCCGCATGGATCCCGCTGCATTCGAAGAGGATGATTTGTGCCTCATCCTGGCTGAAATGGTGAAAGACTACATGCAGAAGAAAATTGGTGACGTGGAACAGGAGCAGGAGACTGATGACTTCAGGTAGGTCATGCACCTGCCCAGCACAGGACATGCTCTCCCTCTGGTCGTGCCCAGGAATGCATGTCCCAAGAAGTAGAAAAGACACAGTTGGACAGGTGACCAGCAGTCTGTTCACCCCAGCCTGGGTCCAGCTGTTCTCAGGTTCCACTGAAGACAGAGGTCAGATGGAGAGACTATGGTCAGACCACAGGTAAAATGAAGGCAAAGACCTTGCACAGGGTGGGGACAGGTAGAGCAGTGTCTGAGGTAGGTCTGGAGTCTTTACATGTCCAGTCACCCAGAACCATCTTTAGATTTTCTAACAGCACTGGGAATGTCCATGGGAAGCGATGATGACATTTTCCATAATTGCCTAAAATTTTCTGCTGTTTAGGTGAAAAACCTAAGGTGAATAGGTGCCACTCAGAGCAGTAATTTTACCATGAGGGTCCCATGAGGTGGGATCTCCCACGTCACCTCCTCAACCTCTCACTGACAGATCTTCTCTTTTTCTCTATCCTATGAAGCAGTGTCAACACCCAGAAGAGAGCCTGCAACACTGCCACCTGTGTGACCAATAAGCTGGCAGGCTTGCTGAGCAGATCTGGGGGCATACTCAAGAGCAACTTTGTGCCAACCTATGTGGGCTCCAAAGCCTTTGGCCGTCGCCGCAGGGACCTTCAGGAATAAGTAGGCAACAGGTGAATGCCCTTCTTTTCTTGGAAGGGAGGGTGGGTGACTGGGTATCACTGGGGGGCAATCCACTCTCTAACCCTCCCTGGGCCCAGATCAGTAAAAGATCCACAGGAAAACCTGCCCACTCCAGTGTCTGGAGAAGGACGAAGAGTCCCAATAGCTGAAACCCCTAGATTATGGGTTCATTCCTCTGTTTCTCCAATGTCTCTCTGTGGCACAGTGTTGTGTACATATGAATTCAGAGCATACACTCGGGGTCAAGAACTGTGTTGGTCCCCTACTACTGATACGACAATGGACCAGACACTTTCTCTGAGCCTCAGTTTCTCCATCTGTAAATTTGAGGGCAAAAATTTCAGCCACCTGCTAGTATTAATAGAAAGACAAAAATAAGACAATACATATCAATAGCTTCACAATTAATAAATAACTAAATTCTAGTTGTTGTTCTCTTTCTCCTAGGTCACCCCGAAGATGAACTCTACTTCTTCAAATTCATCATAAAATCAGCTCAGAGGAATGCATGGAAGACATACCCTTCTGCATGCTATTTGACCTTAAAAACACTCTTACCTAAAATAAAATAAATTTAACTGCATTATTATCTGGTGTGCATCTTTTCATATTTTATTCTATATTCAATAAATATGACAGCATTGGTTTACCTGGTAGCAACTCTGGGCTGGGCCAACCTGTTGATGTTGGCAATTCTCCCAGACATTCAGGGGCCATGAAATCACCACCTCCGGGGTATCTGGGAACACGTAGTAATGCTGTGCCTCAAAGAAACCTTTCTTTAAAGAAACCTGGTCTTTTGAGAACTTCACCAAGGGGAAAAAAGTGTAATTTGATACACTTAGAAGAAGTCCCTCCTGCTGTTTATGCTGTTTTTCCCAGCAAGTCTCAGGGTCCTCTGAACACTCTGTTGACCAGGCTGACTCAGTGAGGCAAAGGCAACACGCTTGGGATGGGTCTTGAGTATCCTATACCCTCAGTTTTTAGTAAAATATCCCCTGTTGGGTCCTGACCAGTGTGGCTCAGTTGGTTGGGCATCATCCTGCAAAGTGAAAGGTCACTGGTTCACTTCCTGGGCAGGGCACAGGCCAGGGTTGCGGGTTCGGTCCCTGACTGAGGCAATTGTTCGAGGTTGCTGTCTCACGTGGATGTTTCTCTCCCTTTCTTTCTCCCTCCTTTCCCCAATAAATAAATAAATAAATAAATAAATAAATAAATAAATAAATGAAATGAAAATATCCCTTGTTGGAATTAGAACCCTGTACACTTCAAAAAGACAAGTCACATTTGTTTTCAGAGAGTATCCTGGTCCCCAGATATAAAGGACACCAGTCCCTACTTATTAATTCAGGTTACCCATCCCTGCTTTTCTTCCCCATGAACAAACTGCCCCCCCACCCCCAGCTTGGCGTTTGAGATGGGATTGGCAGACTGGCAGACTTGGAAAGGTCACCAGAGGCCATCCAACCCAACTTCTTTATTCTCTGACATGCAGAGAAGTCCATTGCCTAAGTTCCTGCGGTAAGTCTGAGACATTCCCACATTTAACAAATGCTAATTAAGTACCTGCTAGATTTTTGACACAGTTTGAGCCACCGGGAATAGGGCAATGGACAGAAGAGACAAAACCCTTATATTCATGGAGCTCTATTCTAAATGGGGAGACTGAGGCAATGAATGCTGTGAAATCAGACACTCTGTATTGGAAGGAACCTGGGAGGTCATAGGCTATGAGGCCCTATTCAAGGTAGAAATTTCCCAGCATCAGCATCCCTGGCATCTGCTGGGACTGCTGGTGACAAGCTGCTGACTATAACTCCCAGGGTGACTGAGCAGCCAGTTTCACTCAGGGACAGTCAATTAATTGGGATTATTTAGTTAGAGAAATCAGCCCCTTCCATACATTGACTCTAGTTATTTCCTCAGGAGCACATAGAATTATGACCCTTCCTCCCATTTGGTCTGTAGTTCACACTGTAGCCCAACCCTTGCCTAAAAGGAAGGTCAGACCATGTCTCCTCTATGCCTCCCCATCTCACAAAGTATATACCTAGAGCATTGCAATGGCATACAAGGTCCAAGCTGAGCTGCTCTTCCTCTCTTCTCCCCACCTGCCTGGCCTCATCTCCCACTTCTCCCCCACACACTGGACTTTTTCGTATTCCTCACCCCTCGTCCCCCAGCACCAGCCCCCTCCGGTGTCTGCAGCTGTTGGCTCTGTGCTCTGTGCAGAACGCTCCTGCCCTTGGCCCTGTCTCCTCTGGATCAGTATTCAAATGTCACACACGCTGGCCCTCCTTTCTGAAATTGTACTCCCTCTGCCAACACACCCTAATCCTTTTCTTGTTTTAATATTTTCTCTTTACCACTTATTACCTTCAATCATAGTATATATTTTTAATTATTTACTTTATCATTTGTACCCTATCCTATGAACTGTGTAAGCTCTACATGGACAGGGTTATGGCTATGTTATTAATTGCCAAATCCCCTACACGTAGACCGGTATGTCTGGCATGGGGTAGCACTCAAGAAATCTTTATGAAATGAATGGAGTTCAGTCCTTTTCCCTTTTATGTTTATGGTCAGCTTTCAGGTTCCTTCTTGGTCTGATTTGCTTCAGGGCGAACTGTCCGAGGGCTTCCATCCTCAGTAATTATATCACCTGGATAGTGATCCCTCAAATGCCTGAAAACTTCCGCCATGGCTGCCAGAATTAGTGACTCTATTTCCGGCCTCAAGGCCTCCACGAGCCCTATGTCTTCTCTTTGATCTCTCTTCTCACCCTTTGTTTCTCTTCCCCTGGATCAGTACAACAAGCTCTTCTTCTTCCCATGCAGTAAATGCAGCAGAATGGTAGTGTGCTCTCTAAGGAGTGATACCCACGACTAGGTGGGTAAGTTCAAATAAGAAGTCTAAACTGCAGGAAGACCAATTTAGTCCCGGGTTCTAGCAGTTTCACCAATAATTGAACTATACTTATTGAATTCCAGCTGAACTCTGGATATTTCTCATTAACTCATAAAGAGAGTAACTAATTTTTTTTTCTTTGAGAGTAATTCAAACTTTCAAACGACTACATAGCATGCACTGAATCAGAATCCAGAGAGCAGATATAAGTGTACAAGGCAATCAAAGCGTAATATGGAGAACTAAGACTTTTGGTGTGGCTATAGCATCATTCATTACTCTTCCCAACCGACATAGGCCATTACAGCAAAAGAATGTCTTTTAATGTCAATTAAAGCTCATGCCAAACACTCAGCTCGAGAACAATGAGGCTCATTGAATTATTGTGCCCAATCCTTCACTATGCCACAGCAGTATTGCATTTGCCTACACTTCCATAGTTGCATGGTGGGCGAATAGACATCTCTGCCGCTTTGTTTATGGGATTGGCCAAGTGATTTCTTTTTGCCATTATGATATTGGTAAATAAGGTGAAGGTCAGGATTGAAATGTGCTTGTGTGGTTGGGTTTTGCGCTCTTGTAATTCTGCCATCGCCCTGAAAAGAGCATGCCTTAGGTATCTGTTGATGTGTTAGTCCGAGCTCCAAAATGAGAGCTGTGGAACTAAACCTGACCTGCAGCCTGAATGCACATGCAGCTGACACCGGCTGGGGATTGTCCTCATCCTTACCACACAAACATAAGCAAAAACATAAATATTTGTGTTTGAGATTTTGAGGTTGTTTTTATGTAACATTGTTGTGGCAGTGGATAAGTGGTACCTATGAATTTGGAATGCTATAAAGTGAATGCGACTTCCCAAAATTCATATATTGAAGCCCTAACTCCTGATCCAATTATGTTCAGAGATAAGACCCTTAGGGTGTGTAATTAAAGTTAAATGAGATTATAAGGGTGGGGCTCTAATCTGATAGAACTGGTGTTGTATAAAAAGAGGAAGAGATACAGGGACCTCTTTCTTTCCTTCTCAGTACACTCACAGAGGAGAAGCCAGGTGAGAATACAATGAATAGATTGCCATTTGGATGACAGGAAGAGAGACCTTCCCACACACAGACACTGATGGGACTTTGATCTTGTACTTCCAGCATCCAGAACTGAGAGGAAATAAATTTCTGTTGTTTAAGCTATTCTGCTGTGGTTGCCAGAGCATACTAATAGAAGGGGCATTAGTTGATGGAATTATTTTTGCTACCACAGCTTGTTTTTTTTCTCACTGAGATTTGGTTTCTAAATCAATTTTTCTAATGGCCAATTTATCAAATTTATCCATTTCCTTTTATGAGTTCATTTACATTTTGTTTTTTTTAAGATCATCTTTAAAAATGTTCAGTTCGTTTTAGTATAGTCTCCTGCAGATGAACCTAGAAAACATGCCTTAGATAAATTAATTGTGTCTTATATTTATAATGAATTAGTACAATATATTACACAATGGTGAATATAATATATGTGTATCACATATAATATTCAGTGTAAAATAAAGCAATTTGCAGAGTATATATATATATATATGGTAATATAATTTGTATTAAATTTAAAGCATGCATAAGATTACTATATCTAATTTAGGGGTGCGTACACATATGGTAAAAATATACAGTCATGTACAGGGAGTATAAACATAACATTCAAAAAAGTGATTAACTGAGAAGAGATTAGAAGGGGATCCCATGAGGAGGGGTATATAGGCAGCATCTACCAAGGCTTTGTTTCCTTAGGCATCATTTTCTAAGCTTGGCAGTTGGAATATAATGGATGGTCACTACATTTGTGTTTAATATGAATAAATATCGTAAGTATGGGTATTTTATGTTAAGGCAACTACCATAAAATTAAAAAAGGATGCATAAATCTTAAATACCAAAGAGAATTTGTTCTGTTCAATGGAAAAGGAACAAAGACTCCAAAATGTACAGTGAATGAACAATTTGAGAAAAGATGACAGCAGTAAATACGTACATAACTTTAACTTAACTGTAAATTAGGTGCTCGCCCTCCTGGGAGCACCCTAGTGCCTTTCTCCCACTATCTCCCCCCCCACATCCCTTTTACCTTGTCTCTCCTAAGCTCCAAGGGCCCTTCTCTTTCCTCTATAACTTGTTTCTTGAGGCTATGTCTTCTACCACTCACTTCTTCTACACTTGTGACTTTCTAAATAAACTTTCTTATAAAAAAAGGTAAATAAATAATAAAGAAATAAAATTGTTGTAAATTAGTGAAAATCAATAATGAAAAGACTAAGGTTACATTTTGTTAAAGGATCCAGCAGAAGTTTTTTTATAAGAGAAAACTCTAGAACAAAACTCAGAATTCATTAAAATAAATGGGTAGTAAAACATATATCACACAAATATGATTAAAAATAAGTTGAAGTAACTTCATAATATATGATCAAAGTAGAATTCAAAGCAAAAAAAAAAAATAATAATTGGAAAAGAAAATGTGCCATATAGGAAAAAAAGTGACAAAATGGCAAGAAGATATATTTATCATAGACATACGACCCAAAACATGACCTCAAATTCTGTAAAACAAGAATGGACAGAACTTCAGGAGAAATATGTATATCAAGAATTCTT